TATAGTGAAACCCTTATTTTTGCCACTTCAGACATTGTAAAAAAATGATTGATAAGAAGAAGAGAGAAGTATGAACGTAAGTTTGAAGTAAAGTATTGAATGAATTTTCATAAATTTGAAACGCCTTTAAATAAGGCAAGTCCGACGTTGGGGTGTAGAATTTTTCTATGTAAAATGCAGTACAATACAACGTTTTATGTATTGAATTATTGTTATGTCAGTTCATTGTGGGACCAAAAACCAAAGTAAAAAGCAGTATAATAATACGTTTCAGTATAAAACGCAGTATAATTTTCTTAGTAAAACGCAATATAGTACTGCAAATTACAAAAAATAATTAAGTAAAACGCAGTACTATACTGTGTTTTACTTTAACGGCTAAATTTTCGTTAAAGTAATTGGCAGTATAGTACTGCGTTTTACTCATTTATGTAACTTTTTTTTTAAGTAGTAGAAAAGTATTTTTTGTCCAAAAAATCATCAAAAAAGTTTCGGACTCTACTAATCCAAGCATCAAAGAAGTGAGCTCAGGAAATGCTTGGACAGGGCAATTTTTATAAGGTAGTACATAACTTAAGCGAAAGTTTGAGTTAAAACACCTATACACAAGACGTACACCAAAAAGTGGAAAACCTACCAAAAAGATATGTTTTTTTATTACACATGACACCCACTCTTCGACATAACGAGGAGCCTCATGGGTGCACCAAGAAAAAAGGATAAGAGGCTATCAATGATGCAAAATCAATTTCTACCCCTTCAACAAGTCTCATATTTCTCACCAACAACCCACATGAGTGCTAGTGGACTAACTTCCCACGCCTTACGTCTTCATCTCCATCTTCCAGTTGAACATTTCTTACAGTAACCGGCATCACCAGAGATATACCAAACAATCCCATAATTACCTATATAGCACTAACAAACATAAGTAATCTCCCTCTTCCTCAAATTCTCAGCCGTCAAAATCATCCCTCTTGTGGCTAACCAGGTAATAAAAAGGCACACATTTCTCGATATGTTAGGGATCCAAACTGAGATGTACTGAGATGTAAGGAGAAGCTACCTCCTCCTAGTCAAAAGATTCTCATAACATAAGTTAACAGAAAACCCTCCAAGGTTCCCAAACCTCCAATATAGTGGCAGTCATGTGATGTGCTTTGTTTGTGAAGTAATTCAATGCGGCTTTGAAATTCTGACAACTTCCAATCTTGCAATTCCATCCTATAGCCTCCGGATTCGTTGAACTGTTACCTCCTGCTGGCAAGTTCTGCAAATGTTTAGAAAAGCAAGCCTCAAAATGTTAACCCCACACCGCCAGTGCCCCAAAAAACGTAACCCCCACCCCCCAAAACCCAAGAGACACATTAGCACTAAACTATTCTCACCCCCTCAAAATATTCCTCCACAACCCACTCCCACAATGCTCGTAAAGAACATAACCGTGAGGGATTGTCAATAAAACACTTGATACAACTCATCTCCTCATGGATAAATGACGATGGCGCTTAAAGTTCTGTTTTCCTCGAGCCCTGTGGATAAAATCAGTGTCACCAGCTGGGGCAGAACGTTTCTTCATGAGCTCTTTTCGCACTTGAGCAATTGGAGCAGATCTGCAAGTTCCTTTATTTGTTTTAACTTGTCGGAACTCAGCAATAAAGTTTCGATTTGAGCTTGATTGACTCGAGTTTGACATCTGACATTGAAGTTTTTCGATCTGTTCTTGAAGTTGAGAAAGTGAATATTCCGACTGAAGACCAGGATCCACAATATGTCTAACTGCATTTCTTAGTGCATTTATTTCATAATTTATAGCCTTCATCTGCGAAAAAGATAGATCAAACTTGATTTTGGATTTCAGAAGAAATGATCATGAAGTTATTTGCCAAAGAGGAAGAGAACACTACATACTTGGGCTCGATGAGAACTATTTCCAGCATGAAGTATTTTCTTGGCAATCTCTTCTGAGTGTCTTACATAATCCCTCAGGAGCATCACTGGTGAAACCAAGTTAACAAGATCAAACTCATAGACATAAGTAAATGCCACCATCCACTGCTTTTTATTTATAAGATTTTGGACGAAGCCTGTAACTCAAAAAATACAAAAAAAAAGGGGGAAAGAAAATATCAGTCAGATAAATCCAAAGGCTGTTCAGTCTTTGGTTATATTCAGTAAAAACGAAGTGAGTAGTGTAAAATGTTCCCTGTCAACTGAAGTTACAAGAGTCAGATGAAAACATCAGCTACAGTAACAACTTAATTTTTTGTTCAAATATCGGGTCACAGATATAGAGATTGCACGTTAAAGGAACAAGAATTTTAGCCAATGCTGATGATGTAAAATATCAAACCACACCCTCAAAATAACTCAGCTGAATGCATTTTCTAGTTATATTGTACATCAAAAGATTTGGAAAAATCACAGAATAAACGAAAAGTAAACAAAGGTTTATCAGCTCCAAAAATTCTCACCAACTTTATTCTGAGAAATGAGATCAGAACTCCTCTTCAAAAATGCCAAAGAGATACAATTCAAAAGACTAGGATGCTATTCAAGCATTCAATCACTAGGTACCTTTTCTTTCAGCAAATAACATAAAACACCTATGCTTCACAATCAAACTAGTCAGGGTCGCCATATAAATCCTCACTATCCATGTCACTCTATTTAAACTCGTCTTAAACAATATTTAACAATTGAAGTTCATTGACACTAGATGTTCTCTATCTTTTCTACTGACATACAAATCCTAACAAGATAAACTCCTAATATTGGACCTAAAGTAAGCGTAATAATAATACGAAGCCTTAATCACAACTAATTGGTATTGCTATATGGATCTTTTCTTTCATTATACTCCATTTTCCACTAAGTTCGGATGGATCCGAAGAGATTATAGGTCTTTCGAGATAAACCTCTTTCTGTGTGATTTAAGGTCTACCTTGTTTCCTTAACACCTTCAATCACCATGGTTACACATCTGCAGACCAGTACATCTCAAGATCTACATAGGATATGACTAAATTATCTCAAGCGAACTTCTCTTATTTTATCCACTGTGTGTGCTACTTTCACCTTTTGTCAAATGTGGTTGTGCAACCTTTTATGATTGTTGATTCATCCTAAATCGATTAGTTTTAAGCTAGCAGTCAACCTGTCTCAAGTCTGCTGCTTTATAAACTATGTGAGAAGGCTCTCATAGATAGGGTTATTTCGGCTAATAGCATAGACCTATCGAATGTCAAGATCACGGTCGCCAAGGAGTAATTCCATATGTTCCTTGGAAGAAGTAAAACCAATTTCTACAACAGGAAAAAATCATCAAAAAATGAATGCTACTCATAGAATGTCTGATCAAATTGTAGTATGCATAATATAAAACAACAAGATGAATCCTACAAATTCAGTCCCCTCAAAGGACAATAACAGGATCTAAATAATCAATTAAAAAGGCAATAATATTATAAAATAGGAAGCAAAATTCCATCATAAATGAGAAATGAACACATCTAGAAATGTGTGACCCTTCATATGACAAGCAGCAGTGCAGCACATTATTCATATTAGGAGGTGACTGTGTGTGTACACAGGCAAGTACATTTCAAAGTGAAACAAACAATAGAAAGAGAGAGGAACATACATCGGATCTTATCTGTCAACCCAAGGATTTTGAACAAAGTAACAACACTTTCAGTTGGTTGAACTTTCTCCAAAAGACCAAAAAGTGCATCTGAATGGAAAGAGTCTATTATTTTATAAATAGCTAAAAGCTGCACAAATGCCAAGAACTCGGATGTATTTAGCTGGGACCCGATCAATGTAGAATACCAATCAACTGCAAATGCAATAGCCCCCGCTTTAACATGAGGTTTAATTTCTGGAGAAGTTTCTCTCAGCTGGTCCAACAGATCAGAGAAGCTCCGCATAACTGATGGGAAGTTTTCACACCTCCCTAATTTTGTGGGATGACAACTCCGGAAAGCATCCAGTACAAGCAAAGCAGGATCTGATGTACGAAGTAAACTTGAGGCACAATTGCAGATTACATCATGTCCTTCGCATTTCATATCCATGTTGTTGCAAACAGATTCATCTGTATAGCCTTGAGCCTTGTGTCTCTTCGATTCTTCTATAGAAGGAAGATCATCACTTACTGGAAAGCCAATATTAACACAAACTCTAGGAAAAAATTTGACAATACCATCTACAAAATTCTTAGATTTGATTACTTACTTGAAGTATTATTTGAAATACCAAGGGCGTGACAGATTTCAGATGTATTCACATGCGGTGATACCTTGTGATACAAACTCTCAAGTTCATCTTTATCGAAGGCAGAAGCCAATCTGTAGCTACCTACAAGAAGAAGAAAACCCAAGATTGCCAAATGGTTTTCCATTTCACCCATCATCTTTGCTTTCCAGGCAAATGCAAGCTTGCTAGCTTCTAATTTAGCCTCTGGTTTAATCTCCGGCGAAAGTTCCATGAACTGTTCTAATAAAAGGATGCAACTCTGCCTGATAATATTACGATTAAATTCAATCTCTTCTTTCTGATAGTCTGGAGGATAAAACCCTACCAGTGCTTCCAACACAAGCATCCCCGAGTCCAGCGACATTTGAAGAGCACTAAAGACTTCACTGCGCAACAACTTGTGCTCCTTCAAATGTTTGTTTAAGAAATTCTGCAAATCCTCTCCACTCATGTTCATAAGGATAATGGCCATGGAATTGGAATGACCTAAAGTGCACGAGGGGGTTCTAGCAGAGAATGATGCGGAATTGAGGGCCTTGGTGCCTGTGGGAATAGATGGATTAGTAGAGCCCATCTGATTCACATTCGCTTGCTCTGGCGTTTTAGCCTCATAAATGACACATAATGCAGCTTGATCTTCCTTCTGCCTTGTAAGCACTTCTATACATTCTTCAAGGTGTTCTATCGGATATTTAAACTGAAGTTTGTAATTCAGAATACATCTGATAACAGCTCTAATAGAAGCAACCTGTTGTTCAATGGCCTCAATCTATTTGCAAAATGTCAAATTAAACATTATAAAAATGAGTCTTAAAGGAGGGGGTTAGAACATTGGCAACAGAAGTGGCATAATACCTTTTCTTCGAATGAGCAGGTCTCTTTCTGGCAAACATTCATATAATTACGTTCAACATATTCCACGTAATTTTTCAGAATGGCTGTGGGTGGGAACTGGTCCACAAGTTCAAATGCATAAGCATATCT